TGTAGATGATCATTTAGTGTCAAAAACTTCAATAAATAGCAACACGCACCAGACTAGCCGGTGCGATCATGCGTTTTGTGCAGTTTTCCACCAGACGATTGCCTGTTAATGATTTTCACTGCTTTATACTTTAGTCTGTGCAAAAATAGCTGAAGCGTTGAGAAATTGTTAAAAATTTCACGCATCGACACACGAAATCTCACGCACCGGCACTACCACAAAACTGTAGCTTCTATGGTACCTGAGATAATTCCCCCGCCAAAATTTTCACGAGGCCGTAGCCGATACACGAGAGCGCGGGAACGCTGAATTTGAATTTGCAAGGTTGTGCATGGGCGGGGAGTCATTATCCTGAAATTTCAGCTTCGCAGATTTTGCGGTTCCCGAGATAATAACTTACCCGCCAAAGTATTCACAAAGTTTGATCTAATGTCTAGTTCCACAAAATTTCCTAATTCAAACATCACCTACAGAGGCACGTTTATTCAAATAAAAAAATAAAAACTATTATCCGAAAATTAAAAAGAAATTATTCCTCCGCCCCCTTTCCCTCCCCTCCCCCCGCCCCAAAAAAACAGAATCATACTTTTTTGCGCAATAAATAAACGTAATTCACTAGCAGAAAAACTAGCTTTCTAGAATTCGTTTTTATGGCAAAATGACGGAGCAGAATGTCAAGAATTTAAAATTATTTTAATTTTAAGTATTTTAGTATTTTTGAATTCCTGACATAATGCTCTGCCGACTAGCACATAATTGAGCCATAGGCAGCTTTGCCAGCAGGTGGCTGATTGTGCTAAATCCTATTATTCGAATGCCCTACACCATTTGTAGAGAGTGAGAAAAGATTTTTTACTTCTCCTCATTTTAGATCAGACAACATTCTGTATTTTGCGGGGAAAAGGGGGAAATGCAGGTGGACAATTATACAAAATAACAAATAACCTTAAGGTCGCCTTCAACACCGGTATCAAAATCGAACAGTGCACGCGCATAAAATGGTCTGAAAAATTTTTGTATCGACAATAATCCCGCTCTGAGTGGAAAAAATTTTGGCTAT